TTTTTTTATTGTTGGTTTTTTTTTTTTTTTTTAATCTATGAGCACGTTGGTTTTCAGTTGAGATGAATTGGTGAATTTGATGGGATGAAAAGGGTGTAAGAGTTTTTTTCTTGATGGGGATATTTTAGACAATTTGCCATATTTATTTATTATATTTTTTTATTAAGACCATTTGACCAATAAACATTCACAAATGGTGTTTTTTTCCAACTACTTGATTTGATCAGGTCTTTTAACAAACAATCCCCTTCAAAACCCTTCATTTTCCTACTCCAAGGTTTTGCAGTTTTTCGAGAATTCGAAAAATACCAGGTTTACCGTTTACATTTCAGAGGGTGGAGTGGACTTGGTTTTTGGGTCCCCGAGTCCCCCTTACATCTCCCTCTCTCGCAGTTTTCCCCATAGGTGAAACCATGTATCTCTCTACATACAATTATAGATACAAATGTTTAAATACAGATGTTGTTGTATTCATTGATATACAGTACATATCCCAATATTCGTTTCGATGTAAAAATTACAGCTTTCAGCTTCCGATACAGGTGTAGAGCTCAAATGCGTAGCTTTGAGTGGGGTTCTGTTTTTATCTATGTATAAAATTCTTGGCAAACAACGTCTCATATATCGCTCTCGCATCGCGAACTATGTGAAAGCCGGCCTCATTGATAAGGCAATCCAAGTGTTCGATGAAATGTCCAATTCAGATTGCAGGGTCTTTTCCATAGATTACAACAGGTTCCTTGGAGTGTTAATAAAGAACTTGCGTTTTGAGTTAGCTGAACACTATTATAATTCGATGGTTTCAAAAGGGTTCTCTTTGAGTTCCTTTACTTACTCCAGATTCAGCTCCGGGTTGTGTAAAGTTAAGAACTTTGAGCTCATTTGTAGGCTTGTTGAAGATATGGATAGGCTCAACATTGTGCCTGATTTATGGGCTTATAATATTTATTTGAATCTTTTGTGCAGCGAGAATTTAGTGGACAATGCCTTGGAATTATTGAGAGTAATGAGAGAGAAGGGACGTGAGCCAGACATAGTGAGTTATACTATTACAATTAGTGGGTTGTGTAGGGTTAAAAGGCTTGACGAGGCTGTTGAAATGTGGAAAATGATGATTAAAAAGGGTTTTGAACCAGATAATGACGCTTGCAGGGCAATTGTTTTAGGTTTATGTGACAATGGGAAGGTTGATTTGGCATATGAGCTCACTGTGGGGGATATGAAGGGGAAGGTTAAATTTAATGTGATAATTTATAATGTACTTATAGATGGGTTTTGTCAAGCAGGTAGGATTGACAAGGCACAAGCAATCAAGTCATTTATGAGTAGGAATGGATGTGTGCCTGATTTGGTTACTTATAATGTGTTATTGAATTATTTTTGTAATGAGCTAATGTTGGATGAGGCAGAGAATTTAGTAGAAAAGATGGAGAGAAGCAGGACGAAGCCTGACGGTTATAGCTACAATCAGCTTCTAAAGGGTTTATGCAAAGGCAATAGAGTAGACACGGCTTATGTCTTGATGGCCAAAAAGATGGAAGCTAAAGGGTTGGTAGATGTTGTATCCTACAATACAATTATTAGAGCATTTTGCAAGGTGGGCCGTACTGGAAGGGCTTTTAAGCTATTGGAGGAGATGGGGAAGAAGGGAATTGTTCCCGATGTGAAAACATTTACCACCCTCATAAAAGCTTTTCTTAGAGAAGGCAACTCGAAGATAGCCAACGATCTTCTTGAACAGATGACAAAAATGGGTATATCTCCAGATAGTGTATTGTATACTGTCATTATTGATCACCGGTGCAAGATTGGAAGCGTAGAAATGGGTCGCAGTATTTTTCATGATATGGTAGGGCAGGGAATTGCCCCTGATGTAGTGTGCTACAATGCACTCATCAATGGGTTTTGCAAGGCTTTCAGAGTTAGTGAAGCCATGCATCTATATGAGGAAATGCAAAGTACAGGTTTGTATCCAGATGAGTTGACTTTCAAGTTAATCATTGGAGGTCTCATAAAGGAAAATAATTTTTCTTTGGCTTATGACGTCTGGGATCAGATGATGGAGAAGGGATTTACCCTTGACAGAGATATATCTGAGACTCTGATCAATGTCATCCATTCAAAAGATGCATCCTGCGATAACTTTATCAATGGTTTTTATCTCATGGCTCCCTTTCATGCTCCCTTTTTTGTGTGAAAAATAGTGCGAGTGCGTTGCCATGACCTCTGTGTATTGTAATCTGCAGTTTAAACCACTGTGCAAATATTGAAATAACTCTACATGCAGGTCTATTTTGTACAGTGACCCGAATCTTTAAAGTGAATTAAAAATTAACAGATTTCTACCTTTAGAGAAATATATCCCATGCTTCAGAGCAGTAAGCAGGAAATTGAGATTTCTGTGAAATTTACAAGTTACAAGTGACACATAAAATAATATGAACACGTAAAGTGACATGTATTGCTGTACTTTTCCTGGAATGGAGTTGTTCATTTACAAGGAACATTTTAAGTGTTTACTCATCTTTTCTTATTAAAATGAATTTAGATTGAAATGCTGCAAAGCCCTCTCAAGATATATTCTCGGTTGATGGCGCACCTCTCAAAATCATGGCATCTTGAGCCACCGCATACTCCTGACTGATTCTAGAAATAATCAAACAGGTTGGGTTTACTTGTCTCCCTCCTCAGTTTTCACCCTTAAAGGTATTCTTGACATTTCCATATTTTGTTTTGCATATATGCCAATTCAAGAATAAACGAAGGATTTACGACTAGATGGTTAAGCTGAATAACATTTCAAGATATAGCCATAGAGCTGTGGCTGTGGAGTCATTTCGAAATCTCAGTCTGCTGTTTATCACCAGAGCCAATATGTCGCCAAAAAAATTACTCCAAGTTTTCTCTTCTTTTTCTGTTTCTATATGACGCATGCTATGCTACACATGTTGGGCTAATTCTACAGAGAGCGAAACCTGGCGCTCCAGTATCCTCATGTAGCAGGCCAGGGACCTTTGGCTTCTTGCCCTTGGGCAGGTATGAAGCTGAACTAGTTCTGAAAGTTTTCATTATGATGCTAATCTAGTTATGATCTTTTTCTTCTGCCTTTCAAAATATTTTGTAAGTACCAAGCACAATACGTAATTTAAGAAAGTTACGGCATCTATTTGTCGTGTATATAGTTGCTGGTCTGTCTAAATCGTTGCAGTCGATTAACTTAATCTATTTTAAAATATAAAATGGAACATAAAAGTAACAAATAATAATTTGACTGATTTATAATTTAAAGTCTAAACATATGAAAAAACGACTAGTTATAACATAGCTTAAAAAGGCTTTATCAGGTACTCAGCACTTGTGTATGCGAGGTGAGGCATAAGCCTTGAGGCAAACCAATAAAATAATTCAAAAGAATATAACAATACAAAATTATAAACCATAAAACATCTTATAAAATCCACAATAAAACAAATCAAAAAAATTACAAGTCTTAACTATTCAGCACATAAAATAGATCAATAAAGCAGCTAAATAATAAGTTATCAAATTAGTAATTACATAACAAAATTGTTATATGCGAATAGCAGTAGAGACAACTTAGCTATCTCTTAAATTAACACTAACAATAATAGTTCTTTTCATTCTGTCATCATCCTTTATTAGCAATTGTGTATTCTCCTTCCTCCTTCACTTTCGTGTAAAGACAGGAAAAATAAAATAAAGAAGCCCGCTAAATATTGTAACGGGTTTGATTATGACTCAGTTATTTGATTATGTAGTCATTAACTTTTGGGGGCGCATGTTCACCCTATTGTTTTAAGTTTATTTGTGCCACATGTATTCAAGCATATGGGCTCGCTGCGTTTTTTTTTTTAGATTCATATCCATCCAAGTTTTTGTGAAGTGTATTGAAATGGTAGAGTTGGTTACACTTAACTTTTGGTTAGCATTTGTTAGAGGGATAGGTGGTCCCCAATGTCTATTATATATGTGTTTTGGAACCCTAATGGGTTGCTTAATTGGTCAGGCCTTGAGTTTACTCCCCAATGGTCACCAGTTCGAGTCTCCTCAGGGCCACTGAGGTAAGTACCCGACCGTAAACTTCAGGGCCCCCTGCAATTAGTCGAGGTGCGCGCAAGCTGACCCGCACATCCCCGGTTATCAAAAAAAAAAANATATATATATATGTGTTTTGGAAAGTTTGTTGCTTTTCAAGTTGATTTAGTCCAATTTATGGGGAAAATTCTGTCAAAATTTTTAATGAACTCATTATAGTCAAAATAGGTCATGGTTACTTGATGGTGGGTCTGACGCCTAGTTGACATCCATCGTCGACGCACATAACGTTTCGAGTCCACTAGGGTGATTCGAGACGGATCATGTCAGTGAGTATCAGAGCTAGGCTACGATTAAAATATCTGAGAAATACTAGACAAACTAGCAAATAATATAAGAATAATGCTATTTATCATTATGATGATGGAATATTGGTGATGTGACGGTCTATGTGAAATAATGGGATTGAGCAGTTCAATTTTATGAGCAAGAGGAAGGAGAGAGAAATGTGATGGATAATGAATTATCACATCACCGATGTTCCATCATCACGATAATAAATATCATTACTCATAACATAATTCTCGAGGCTTTACCTTGAGGCATAACTGCACAATTGGTGCTTAAAGAGTAATGGTCCGTTTAATTTGTGTTTCTATTTTCAATTTTTAGTTTTGAGTTCTTTTTCAGTTTTCTATTTTGAGAGTATGTTTTAAGATTGCTAAAAATGCATTTTTTTTGTCATTTTGAAAAATTATTTCTCAAAACTGAAAACTCGAAAACATGTTTGGTTTAAAATTTTGAAAAATTGTTTTATAACCTTCTATTTCATGAAATTTGATTATTCAATAAAAATAGAACTATTTTATGTTAACATATTATTAAGTAATATATACAGTTTAAAGTTGGTGAATCTTATAATATTTTTTCTTGCTACAACAATAAAATAAAAACAAATAATAAATTGAGTTCAAATTATAGAAAATTAAAATTAATGACGTGGATTTAGAATATTTTTTCCGTGTTCATTTAAATATATTTTTAGAATTTTTTGTAAATAATCATTAAGAGTTTGAACCATTTTTATTTTTTATAATGTTTATTTTCCTAGAAATTTTTCTAATCTTATTTTTTGTTTTTTCGAATTTTAGAATTTATCAATTTTATTTTTTGAATTTATTTTTTTCGAATTCTAGATTTTATTTGTTAGAATTTTATATTTTTAAAATTTTATTTAAACGTTTCTTTTGAGTATTTTGAGAATTTTCATTGTAAACACTTGTAACATTAAAAATGCGTTTTGAGTGTTACAAGTTTAACCTTGTTTTCTTAAATGCATATTCAGAAATAACAAATCAAACACGTTTTCAGTGTTTTGCAAAAACAACTTGAAAATAGCGAACCAAACAGACCCTAAGCTTTAAGGCGTTTTTAGAAAGTCTCGCATGAGGCTGGATTTGCAGGATTCAAGGCATATTCTTCAAATAGCTTTTTTTAAACAATGATTATAAAAGAAAAGAAAATAAAAGCATAGACAACAAACTAGAAAAATATGGAAGAAAAAAGCGGTTGCTAGTTGTTTGCCCATGAAAAGTAGCACCATTATTACATCAGTGGAGCAAGGATAGGCCAATATTCCTCACTAGTTTTCTCTAATCTCCAGTTTTTTCTTATGTTTGATTTGGTTTATCACAGATGCCTTGTAATGTATTGGGCCATGAAAAATTATGTTTGAAGAGTTGAGACTAGTATAAAATAGCTCCAAAAGCGTAGGGGTTTTCCTTGGCACTATGCCTCAAACCGTGCTTTTGAGTAAGTCAAGGTGTAAGCCTCAACAAAGTTAGAGAGCATATGTTTAGGCTCCTAATAAAAGCTTTGCATGTGATGCCTGAAAGACTGTGCTTTGCTGCCTCACCATTAATTTGACCTGTAACATGGGGCACAAAACTTAGTTAAAACACCAGTAATTGGTAATGGACTAAATGGAGATTCAAATGTGTATTTTTCTTAATTGTCCTTTCGCTTTTCAGGTTTGGGGTTCTTTTTTTCTTTTTTATTTAATTTTTCTTTCTTTTTTTGGGGGATGTGGGGTTTGTCTCTCTCTCTCTCTCTTTTACGGGCATTCCGTTAAGAATCACAGATAAACATCTTTTACTGGTGAATATTGTACTGTTATTTTAAATATGCTCAGGAAAATTGATTCAACTGCAAACTTCAACCTCCAATTGCAGCCAAAACTTCTTTTCTGGATAGGATCAATTTACACATGACCTTTAAGTACCTGAGAAGTTCCACTTTTCTTATTCAAAAGAATCTTAAAAGCTTCATACAGCTCTTTGAATGTTGTATGTTGCATTACCAATGGATCATTTGACCTTGAACACTGCTGTATTTGACTTGTATTTGGAAAACCGTAAGACACTGTAATGTACTTTCAACAGGAGATGGGTCACCTTTTTCTTCCACACCGACCATCAACAACGATATTGGATCAGTAACTGATTTTCCGTGGCAACCACAACCATGATCATAGCGGGTATAGCTGTTCCAGTTCTCAGCCACAACCCACCTGGGAAGTGGCCAACTTTTGACTCAACATTGCCATGCAAGCCACCACCATTCACCACCGGCTGCCCATGGACATCTTGTAGGACCAGGCCAATAACAGAGCTGTGTCTACATTCTCTGAATTCCTGTGGATAATAATCATCAAGGGACGCTTAGCATTACTTATAGTTTGAACTTCAACATCTATCTCCACTGTCACAAGGATAAAAATCTTTTGGTTGCCTTTAATATGAAGACGAGTAGAGACGAGCAAGTCTTAAATTATATATCTCGAAAACTACAAGAGATGAGCACTCAACAAAGTATATACGGGGTACCCCTCAATGCCAATCAAACATTGCTCGCGAACTTCGCCAATCTCAATGCCAGGGTGAGTACAGATTTCTGTTACAGTCATGAATCTTTATTATGATGAAATTTCCATCACTAGCAATTGTGTTAAGCCATTTCTACGACAA